CTTTTTAGCAATTTTCAAGTAAACATTACTGTTAACATACATAGTCACCATGATGTACAGTAGATTTCTTTTTTTTGTTGAGACGGAATCCACCCCCTATTCCCTGAGCAGAGTGCAATGGCATTATAACTCACTGCAACCTCAGGCTCAGGCTCAGGCTGTGGGCATCCTGCTGTCTTAATCTCTGGAAGCTGCTGGGATTACAGGTGCTCGCCAAGGCCCCTGGCTGAGTTTTTCATTTTTTTAGGTGTTAGGGTGTCACTCGCTCAGGCAAGTCTTGAACTCCTGAGCTTAAGCAATTCTCCCGCCTCAGCCTCCCACAGTGCTGGGATTATAGGCATGAGCCACAGCACCTGGCAATAGTAGATTTCTTAAATTTATTCCTTCCGTCTAATCGCAATTTTGTATCCTTCAACCATGTCTCTTCAATCTCTCCAACCCCAACCACTGGGAAATTCTGGGGAACATCATATAACATGTACCTAGGGGTGAAGGAGCTGGGGTATTCATTCTCCTGCTCACGATTGTAATTGATTGTGGCTTCTAGGGACATCAGCTCCTGTCCCTTGGTCCCCGCTGCAGGTTAGAAAGTTACTGAAGTCAGATGTCCTCGGGTGAAGAGTCACCAGAGCTTGAAACGAGAAGCCATGAGTTGACATGCTTTAAGCTGGGAATTCTTAAATTAATATCGTTTCTATGTTTTATGTCACTTCCTGCTATGGTTTGCATGTATGTGTCCTTCCAAAATTCATATGTTAGAATTTAAAGCTCTAGGTGATGATATTAAGAGGTGGGGTCTTTTGGAGGGCTTTGCCCACATACAGAGGTTAGCGCCCCTATGCAAGCGCTCTGGGGAATTAGCTAGGCCTTTTTGCCCTTTTCCACTCCTTCCATCACGTGGGGATGTCACCTCAAGAAGATGCCATCAATGGAACAGAAGCTTAGCAGATAGTCAAGAACCTGCTGATGCCTACCCAGCCTCCTTAACTGTGAGAGATACATTTATGTTATTTATAAATCACTAAGTATGTTGTTAGGGCAGCAGGAATGGACACAGTTCACAGTTGCCAAAGGGGGAGATGGTTATTACATATGAAGCTTCATTGTTATTATTTACTCTCCTTCTAGCTACTACATGTATATATGTAGCAAAAATCTGTGAATTAGCTTTCTTTTATTCCCTTCATTTCAATCAATTTTTTCCTTCTATATTCATCTTACTGTACCCTTTATATTTCTGTAGTCTTCCCCCGCCCCTGAAATTTTATTCTCTTCTCTCTTTTCTTTTCTTTTCTTTTCTTTCTAGACAAAGTCTTACTCTGTTGCCCTGAGTAGAATGCTGGCAACAACCTCACAGCAACCTCAAACTTGTGGGCTTGAGCAATCCTCTTGCCTCAGCCTCCCAAGTAGCTGGGACTACACACAGGTGCCACCACACCCAGCTAGTTTTTCTATTGGTAGTAGAGACAGGGGCTCACTCTTGCTCAGGCTGGTCTTGAACTCTTAGGCTGAAGCAATCCTCCTGGCTTGGCCTCCCAGAGTGCTAGCATTACAAGTGTGAGCCACTGCACCTGGCCTGTTTTCTTTCTTTCTTTTTTTTTTTTTTTTGAGACAGAACCTCAAGCTATCCCCCCTAGGTAGAGTGCTGTGGCATCACAGCTCACAGTAACCTCCAGCTCCTAGGCTTAAGCTAGTCTCCTGCCTCTGCCTCCCAAGTAGCTGGGAC